ATGAGGTCTCGCCAAGTTGCCCAGGCTGGTCTTGAACCCGTGGGCTCAGGCAATCCTCTCACCTCGGCCTCCTAAAGTGCTGGGATTATACACGTGCACCACCGTGCCTGGCCAAAGCACAGAATTCTAACACACTCTTCCTGCCTCAATGAGGGTCTTGTGCACCTCCTTTGTTAACCCACCGACCTTGCAAATTCATCTGAACCTCACAACAGGCCACAAGGGAAGGATTCTTGTGTCTGTTTTGTGGAAGAGTGACTACAGAGGAAAGTAATTCGCCTGCCTCACCTGAGTGCAGCTTGGCCAGGATTAGGACTAGAGTGACCTCTAGAAGGTTAAATCTCAGCATGGCCCTTCCCTCCTTAAAACCCTTTGGGAGGCCAAGGTGAGAGGACTGCCTGAGCCCATGGGCTCGAGACCAGCTTGGGCAACTTGGTGAGACCTCATCTCTATAATAAATCAAAAAATCAGCCGGTGTGGTAGCACGCACCTGTAGTTCCAGCTACTTGCAAGGCTGAGGCGAAAGGATCACCTGAGCCCAGCCGGCCAAGGTTTTGGTGGCCATGAGCGTGCCACGCACTCCAGCCTGGGCAACAGAATGAGACTACGACTCAAAAACAACAACAAAAAACCAAAACCTCCAGGTGCTTCTGTTGCCTCAGGATAAACCTCAGATTCCTTGTCTTACCAAGTGTCCCAACTCCCTGGCTTGCCTTTTTGTCTGCCCAGCATCCTTTTCCCACTTCCTCCCAGCACAGCATTCCTCTTCCCTCTAGGGAGCTGTTCCCCTGCATTCCTTGTGGTTCTCGGGCTGTCCACCTCAGAAGCCCCTTCACACCCTCCCAAGGAGAAACGAGGATGACCAAGTGGCCAAGTCCTCAAATCCAGAGACTCTTGAGCAGGATGTGCCTGGCGGTGGGCAGGTAAAGGGCTGGCGTGCCCGCCCCAGCACCTGGTGCTCAGATCTGCCCACCAGGCCTTTCCTTATGCAGGCAGGATGGGCTCCTGGCACCCGTGGCAGCGCCCTCACCATCACTGAGGCGCTCCAGCCTGGCCTCGTTTTCAGCACTTCCTGCCAGCCACCCTCAGCCAGCAGCCGAGTTCCTCACCTGCTGCTGATTCCTCTGGCCAGAACAGCCAGCCTGCCCGCCACACCCTCTGCTCAGACAATTCCTGAACCTCTCTCAAGGTCACAGCCTGATGTCACCCCCAGGTGCATTTGTCACAGGCGCCCCAATTTCCTTCATGAATACTTGCTGCACTGGTCAGGATCATGAGCCCCATGAGGGCAAGGACCACATCTGTCTCGGGCACACTGGACCCCCATGCCTCTGGCGTACAGTGCTCAGAAAGACGGGCGAATGAAGATCCAGCCCAAGGCTAAACAAAACCTCCGGCTTCTAGAGCCCTTTCCAGCCGTCTAATCCATCCCTTTCACCTCCAGACACTGCTCCCATCTCGGCAGCACCCCATAGTCCTCCCTGACATCGGAGGAAGTCACCAGATCTGCGGTGTCCTGGGTGTTTTCCCTCTTGACCTCAGGGAAAGGCCGGCCGGGAGCAGCAAGGACTCCAGGACACAAGTCAGACAGACTCAAGATGGTTCAGGCTTGTCATATATCCCCAGAGAGAAGGCGTGCTGTGCTTAGACACAACTAGGCAGTCTGCCCTGATTCAAATGGCTTTAAAAGGAGATTCTCCTGAGAACCAGCCTGGGCCGGGGGACAGACCCAAAGGCAAGGTATCGGCAAAGGATTTCCATTACGTGAAAAATTTTTACACGGTTGATACACGAAAGTAGTTGAAGCAGTCCAGTGAAGAGGTAATAGGTGTTTATTATAAACTTTTTCACCCAGAGGCAGTTAAAATTTATAATTTAAAACCCAGCCCGCTACAAAAAGGGGGATGGGAGGGAGGAGTAAAAACGTGTGCAACATTGACCAAAGGCCCGAGACAGACAAGGCCCAGGAGGGGTGGCCCCAGGGGCCAGGGGTCTCCCCTCTCCCGAGGCCATGAGCAGCTGCAGGGTGGGGGTGTCCTGGGCTTCCCAACCCCTGGCCCAGCCCAGGGCACCAGCCCCTCCAGCTGGGGTGGGGACCCCAGGAAGGGCCCTCAGTAGTGTGTGCTCATCGCGCCGTCTGGACGCTCGCCCCGCTCACTCTGCCGCTGCAGAAGGACACAGAGGGACAGCCGCTCAGACTCACCCTGGGCAGGACAGGGGCCTCAGTCACCTCCGAGCCCGGACACAGCAGTTTCCAGGACATCGGGGCATGTGCCAGCCCCCTAGGCCCCTGGGGAGGGGGCCGGGCTCTCCTTCCTCTCCTTCCCGACGGAGCGTGGCCGCCCGCGGCACTGCCCCGTACCCAGGGCCCCTACCTCCGCCATTGCTGAGGCTGTACCCCACGGCCGCTCGATGGGAACGCCAGCTGCTGTAGCTCCTGCACGGACAGAGGCGGGAGTCACGCACCGTCCACGGGCGCTCCTTCTCAGCGCCCTCCGGACACCTGCCCCAGAGCCTCGGCGCCCTCCGAGCCAGGCTGCACTCACCCTCGGTCTCCCTCCAGCGTGCTCTGGACTTCCTTCAGGACTCCTACAGGCCGGGGGCGGGAAGAGGCCCAGTGAGGCCGGCGGGCGCGCCTGGCGGAAGGCCTTCGCCCCGCGTCCGCACAGGCTGCTGAGTGGGCTTGTCCCCCGCCTCGGACACGGTCTTGGGTCCCACCGGCCCGCCACGCCGCCCTCCCAGCAGTCCTCCCCACTGCCACCCACTCACGCTCGTCGTTGAGCAGCGCGTGTTCCATCACTGTGCCGGGCTTCCTCTCTGGAAGGGAGAGGCCAGGTCGGGAAGGCCGCTCTAGGCCCTCCTCCGCCCGGCTCTCTCCGTACGAGGTGGGGGTGCTAGAGGCCCAGGGCCCAGGGCCGGAAGGAATGCTGTGTCTACTCCCAACCAAACATGACCTGCTCCCCGGGGGACTCCTCCTCCCCCCCCCAGCCCCAGGTCTGGCCCAGGTACGCACCCAGGCGCCAGCCCAGGAGGCCTGTCTTACCTTCTCCATCACTCTGGCTCCCTGAGATCCTGTAGAGGGAGAGACAGTGAGGACCAGGGCGCCTAGGCTCCCTGCCTGGCTCGGAAAGCCCTGGTCCCACGAAAGATCAGCAGAGGTCAACTGGCCTGGCCTGCCCTGAGTAGGAAAGCCTGGGAAGTAAACTGAATCCTACCCTAGACTGGCAGGTGGCATGGAAGGGAAGGGTATTCAAAGAGGTGCAGAGAAGCTGGGCGCGTGGTGGCTCATGCCTGTAATCCCAGCACTTTTGGGAGGTACAGGCGAGAGGTGAGAGGATTGCCTGAGTCCACGGGCTCGAGACCAGCCTGGGCAACTTGGCAAGACCTCCTCTGTATAATAAATCAAAAAGTACAATAAATCCTCCTCCTCTGTACAATAAATCAAAAAGTTAGCCAGGCGTGGTGGCACGCACCTGTAGTTCCAGCTACTTGGAAGGCTGGGGTGGAAGGATCACCTGAGCCCGGCAGGTTGAGGCTGCGGTAGCTGTGAGCATGCCACGGCACTCCAGCCGGGTCGATAGGGTAAGACTTCGACTCAAAACAAAACCAAGAGGGAGTCTGGGAGGGTAGCTGTGCTTTCAGGGAGGGGGCCTCTGGCTAGGCAGCAGTGGGAGCCTCAGGGTATCGCAGAGAGGGCAGAGGAGGCTCCAGCCCCTTCACCCACCTGGCTCGGCCCGAGGCTTTCCCGTTGCCAGGGCAGCGGTGGTTCTTGTTTTCCGCTGAATCCACCAGACACCGGGGTTCAATCAGCCACTTGGTGGAGAGAGAGAAGCGCTCGAACTCCGATGGTGAGATCAGGTAGAAACCTGGGGAGGGGAAGAAAGCCTGGAAGGAGAGCCCCGCCCAGGGCTGCCGGGCCCTGCGGTGGTCAAGGGAAGCTGGTTTCCCT